AAATCATAAATGCCAAATATTTTCACATCAATATTTTAATACTAGAAGTGTAAAAAAATTTTTTCAAATAAAATTTATTCAATCATACTTATTATTTATTTTTAAAAAAATTGAATTATTATTATAATCTTGTAAATTTATATTTGATTTTTTTTATTTTTTTAATTGATGCCATTTAATTAAACCAAACAATCTAAAAATATATTCTTAATAAAATATTTCAAACAATGATTATAAATAAAATAATAAAATTTATATACAAATTTATAAGATCTAATTTTATTTTATTTAAAATATTAAAAAATATGAAGATAAAAATATTTTTATAATAATATTAATTATTATTAAAAATTTTAATCTTTTTCTACTTGAGTTAGCGTTAAATTGACTCATGATATATATTATATTTATATGACCAATCGATTTCAGTAGTTAAATGATGATTGCTATCTTTAGAAATCTCAGGTTTGGGTAAGGCGTTTACAAAGGTATTAACGTTTATTGTCAAATGATTGAGAGTCTTCTGAACATATATTATATTTTAACCACCCAGTTTAATAAAAATAGTAATTTATTTTATTTAAATTTAAGGGATTATTTTACCCGTATGATAAACTCAATCAATAATTTGACTCATACATCTTAATTGTATCAATTTTATTCTCGAACTCATTTAATTACACTAATTCCATCCTTTAACGATATTTGTTGTTATTTACAGTATTGATGTAGCAGTTAACGATGATGATGTGATACTCTATTTAAATTTGGTATATCGATTTGTTTTATTATTTAAATAATGAAGTATTTTTATAATGAAATTTAATAATAGAAAATTGAATTCATGGGCAGATCCGTATTATACAATATATATTGGAAAAGAGAATATTGGTAAGGCACATGCATTGCAAGGAATAGAAAAGGAAGGTAAAGGTAGAGAATAGAGATATCCAATGTATCATAATCATAATCATCGTGACCATAATCTAATTTAGATTATCATCAGTTCTATATATATTCTTCTTCAATCATTGGTCACACTATCTCCATTTTTTTATTAAAAAAATAAATAATAAAAATATATATATATTTGGACCGTCAGAATTAACAATACATGATAAACATATGGTTTTACACATGTTGAACAATCAATACCGTAGGTTCATGCATAAAAGAAAGTTATGTAAACACATATTCAAGCTTATTCTCTCTACTTATATTATAATTTCGAATCTTTCTTGAACTTAATATTTGTTGTGGATTCTATAGACTCTATATTTTGATGCCCTAATTAATTTGATCCCTAAAATTAAAATTTTCTAATGTTTTTAATTAAATCCTCTCCCATAATTTTAAAAAATTCATGTCAAGTCTCTCTAAAATTTTAATTAAACCCTAAATAAATTAAATAATTTAACTTTTTAAATTAAACTATAATACTCATGCATTCTATCTTGTCGAAAAAAATCACTTGTGTCTGATCAAATCAGGATAAATTTAAAGCATTTTACATTATTTAATATCAAGATGAATCGACATCAGATAACATTATTTAGTTTTCGGGATAGAGAGAGCCGTTAAAAAAAACCGTTTCGTCCCATTTTCATTGTACTCTTGATCTAGCAATATAGTGTATATTTTTTTAGTAATCAAATTAATGGGATTATTGGTAAGATTCAAATTTTAATTTTGTTGAAGCACATGAATAATCATCAACCAACTGAATTATTGAATGTTTATAAGAAGTTATATGAAAGTAATAATTGAAAAGAATATGTTTAACCAACCCTACCCATTGATGATTAAGTTAATGAAGTGTGTATTAGATGATCAGTTGACATCAATATATATATATATATAACATTGTGCCCAGTTTCTTGAAACCGTGGTTTAATTTGGTACTAATACTATTATTATAATTATAACAACAGTGTCAAAGTGATCCTTGCGTAGCCTTAGCCCCATTATTACTCCTTCCTCTTTGCTTTTTTTTTTTTTTTATACATTATTTGTCACTCAAAAATGCTCTTTGCCTATGCTTCTTTTTCCTCCATCTTCCCTACTTTTTTCTCACTTTGTTTATTTGCAGGCCTCTCTAGGGTTTCCACAGATTCATAGTCATCTTCTTCACTGGAACAAAGTGTCAACAAGTAACAAAGGACTGCATAACTTGGAAGAACCTGCTCTTAAAATTGGTAACTTTTGCTATAAACACTCTATGTAACTGATGTTTTTATACATATACTCTGATTCTTCTTATGGTTTTTCACCCTTTCCTCTGTGGTTCATTTGAAGATCATAGATTATCAAGTTATTCCCCACAAGGAAATTTAAAACAAGTTTATATATGTGTGTGCCTGTCTGTATATTTCACATGAAAAAGAAAGAAAGAAAGAAAGAAGATCTGGCATGTTGGAAATTTAGATCTTTGGGATGATAGGGTTGTTTTCATTTTATGCAACATTTTTGAAAAAATCCAAGAAAGAATCACAGAATCTTCACATGTTAATGTAATCATACATGTTCTTTTGTTTTGTTTGGTGTGGGGGGTTGGGGGGGGACTTATAATTTTAAGATGAAAATGTTTCTGACAGTATGATATTTAAATTCAAGAAAAGCTGCTTTGCAGGTGTGAAAAAGAAAAAAAGTTGTTTCAAAACAAAATTTGGAGAGATCCACAAAGTGTTTTCCTTTAAGCAATTGAAAACAGACAAATTATAATGCTTTTGATCCATGCAAACAATTCATAGTATCTGCAGAGAGAGAGAGAGAGAGAGAAATGGCTTCTTCTTCTTCTTCTTCCAGCTCTTCAAACTTCCCATGTGCAGCCTGCAAGTTCTTGAGGAGAAAATGCATGGCGGACTGCACTTTTGCACCATATTTCCCACCGGAAGAACCCCAGAAATTCTTCAATGTTCACAAAATTTTCGGCGCAAGCAACGTTAGCAAACTGATCAACGAAGTAGCACCCCATCAAAGACAAGATGCCATCAACTCGCTGGCGTACGAAGCCGAGGCGAGGTTGAAAGACCCCGTTTACGGCTGTGTCGGAGCCATCTCGGTTCTCCAGAGACAGGTGATGAGACTCCAAAGGGAATTGGACACCATTCGTGCCGATCTAATCCGATACACCGCCGGCGCCCGCAATGAGATGCCCGCGGCGCCGACGTCGGGAAGCACCTGTTTCGATCATAATGCCGGTAACTTTTACTATCCTAATTCTCAGTGGAATAGTGAACCTTATGGAGGATCAGATGGTGGAAGCCTCTGACATGGCTAAGCAGTATGAATGTACTTAAATAAGCAAAGAAGATTATTGGTGGGAACTGGGAAGTCCCCATCTGGGATTAGCTTTAGGGTTTTCTAGTAATGGAGTTTGCTAAAGTTCCATGCGTGTGACAATGGCATATATTGTGGTACTTTCATGACATGCTGCCATTATTGATTAAACCTCCATGAAACTTTTAATATGATTATATGAGACATCTTATGTATTTGTTCAAAGAATCTATATCTAAAGTTAAAGATCAACCAGATTATATGTATTGATTTGATTCATGAGAAGCTTAAAGATCATAGTTTCTAGGTTTTTCAAGCTAGCATTAGGGTTGATTTTGATTGTTTGCTTGAGTTGGATAGATAAATTAAACCAAACCCAGAGTAATGTAAAATTCGTATTTGTACACATATATCCATTGGTACATTTTTATTAGGTAAACTATGAATTTAATTAAAAAAATTAGAGATAATGATATTGTAGTAATTATCGATAAATACGTAAAGTTAAATTATACTATTATTTTAAGGTTGCATTGAGTATATTTCACTCTAAATTTGAACCCTAATTCAACCTTATATTTATCTATCGTGACCCGGCCTAAACTTGAATTAAAAAACAATCTTACGAAATTGGTTGAGTCAAGAACATCACGTTCAAGTAAAATATCCATCCTTATCCAATGGTTTTAAACGAGAAGAGATTATCCTAATTCAAAATAAAGATATTACATTGATCAAGAACTAAAAATTTTATTTAACTACACATAATTCATCAGTCAGATAAGACTACTACTGGACTTGAATTTTAATATTGATCAAAATACTAATAAATACCAAATGAATTGACATAATTGACAAATTGATCATTTGCATGTATCAAGTTATGCCATGTTATTTAGCTATAATTTTACAACGCTAATGATTTCATATTGAGTACTCTATTGTTGAAGCCACCTACCTTCCATAGTTTATACGTAAACTCAACCCACCACGGCCAAACCTAAACCCACCGACTATGTATATATATGTGTGCGTGCAGCTTATATTATAAAGTAAAGACATTCTTAATTATGTATTAGTATTAATTATAATTAACTGGCAGGGATGCAATCATTTTGATTCTCTAAACACATCATGTGTGCATTATTATCAGCTTTCATACTTCTCTGGAATTCAATCTTCTTTATCAACAAATGAAAGCCCCTAGTAGAAGGGAAAATATACGTATTTGATACAAATCTAAATATCATATATTATGAATGAGGTAACTCATAAAAAAACCAGAATTGACTTGTAAAAACATAATTGCATCTCTTATCACGAATTCCAATAGCATAGTATAAAAACCTAATTTCTATAGGTACCAAAATGAAATAAAAGTTGTAGGTTTTAACGATGAGTACTAAAATGAAATAAAAAATAAACTTTAAGTATAGTTTTAAAAAAATTAAACGTTAAGTATGAAGGCGTAATTTACTCTTTTTTAAATTATTAGTCCACCTCTATTAGGCCACTAATAGTTCTAAATCTGCCAAATTGGTGGATCAATTAGCCCAAAAAGCTTGGTGGCTAGGATGGCCTGTTATTGTATGTTTGGTTCTTTGCATCCGGTAAGAGGCTCGGAGCTTCCCTGCAAAGCAAACCGTAGGTCTCTGCAAACAGAGGTCGCTCTTTTCAGTGTCAAAACTCATAATTGATTCCGAGTTGATTGAGCTCTTGGCTGCTTTGGGTAAGCTTTCGATTTTCCTTGTAATTTTGAAGGCTCGAATTGTCGGCAAATTTTCAGGTTTCTGGTGAAATTAGTGAGATTGTTATGATTGGTAGTCTTCGATTTGATTTCTTCATGGCTCTGCTGTGAGCTTAGGGAAACATTATAGATTAAGTTATTTCTATCTTTGTCTTTTTTGATGACTCGAGCTCAGCTCAGTACCTTAAACCGTAGCCTTGTAAAATCAGGCAATTTCCACGGGAACTCCATTTCAAAATTACCCTTTTCTTCAACCTCGTCTTCTTCGCTTCAAACCATTGAAAACTCTCGGAGCAAAACGATGATAAGTCCACTTTACAATCTTCTTCCTGAGACCCAAAACCCCAACAAAATAGTAGACCTCATCTCATCCTTTCTCAAACAAAACAATTCTCAATTAACCCTTCTCAAAAATGACATAGAACCCCTCATTCCTCATTTGGGTTGTCATGAAATCACAAGGGTGTTATTGAGATTCCAGTCTGATTCTTTCTCAGCTTCAACTTTCTTCAACTGGGTTAAAAATGATTTGGGTATTAAACCTTCTTCACATAACTATTGTTACATTGTTCATATATTGGCTTGGTCTAAGAACTTCCCTTTGGCAATGGAATTGTTGTGTGAACTGATTGATTTTGTTAGGGTTTGTTCAAATTGTGAAGATGTTTTTGAAAGTTTGGTGCTTTGTAGCAAAGATTGTAACTTTGATCCTGTTGTTTTCGATATGCTTGTTAAGGCTTATGTGAGAAAGGGTATGGTTAAAGAAGGGATTAAGACCTTTAGGAAGGTATTGGAAGTTGGCCATTTGCCCTCTGTGATTACTTGTAATTGTCTTTTGAATGGATTATTGAGGTTGAATTTAATTGATCAGTGTTGGCTAGTGTATGAAGAGATGGGGAGAGTTGGGATTCGTCCGAATACATACACTTTTAATATATTGACTAATGTTTTCTGCAAAGATGGAAATGCTGATAAGGTTAATGAGTTCTTGGAGAGGATGGAAGAAGAAGGGTTTGATCCCGATCTCGTAACCTATAATACGTTGATTAGTAGCTATTGTAGGAAAGGGAGACTCAACGATGCATTCTATTTGTATCGGATCATGTATAGGAGAGGTGAGATGCCAGATTTAGTTTCGTATACCGTGTTGATGAGCGGTCTTTGTAAAGAAAGGAGAGTGAGAGATGCGCATCAGTTATTCCATAGTATGGTTCATCAAGGAATTGAACCAGACATTGTGTCATATAATACTCTTATTTCTGGTTATTGCAAGGAGGGGAGGATGCAAGATTCGAAGAATTTGATGCATGAGATGATAGGGAACAGGATTTCCCCGATAGTTTTACTTGTCGAGTTCTTGTGAAAGGATATGCAAAACAGGGAAGCTTGGTTTCAGCTTTGAATTTGGTTGTAGAGCTAAGGAGATTCAGGGTTTCCGTCTCTTCAGATATTTATGACTTTTTGATGGTTTCTTTATGCCATGAGGATCGACCATTCGCCGCAAAGAGTCTACTGGAAAGAACCTCTCAAGAGGGTTATTTTCCTAAACCGAATATCTACAACGAATTGATCCAGTCATTCTGCAGGTGCAATAGTGTGACTGATGCATTGCTCCTGAAAGCTGATATGGTATGCAAGAGAATAAAGGTTGATCTGGTTGCATATAAAGCTCTTATATGCTCATCATGTATAGTAGGTAAAGCTCGTGAAGCAGAATCCTTGATGGAAGAAATGCTTGAATCTGATATCCTTCCCGATCCGCAAATATGCAGGGCACTAATACAATGCTACTGCAAGCAATCGGATATTGATAGAGCGGAGTTGCTATTGAGCTTCTTTGCCAGAGAATTTCAGATTTTCGATACCGAAAGCTATAATTTTCTTGTGAGGACATATACAGAGAGTGGCGGTATGGATAAGTTAATGGGGCTTCAGGATAGAATGATGAAACTAGGATATGCACCTAATACCTTGACATGCAAATATGTAATTAATGGTCTATTGAGAGCTAAGAGATTGGATGATCATAAGATGCTTGGCTCTCAACTGCAATAACCAGCCGGTTGCTTATAAATTTTGTATGTACAGATTTCATTTCATCTTGTAGCTTTTTACCTTTTAAGAAAATTTTAGTAACTTTTGCAGGGTTATATCTCTAATTTCCGAATTAAAAATCAGTACAAGCTCCAAACTCAAATGCCAAACTGAAATGGAAATCAATTCCCTAACTTTTCTTCAGTAAAATATCAATGGATATATATATATATATATTACTTTTAATCCTTTGTACTAAAATTTAATCTCAAAACACAACACAATTGCCAGTCAAGTAGAACTGTTATACCTTGTGGTGGCTACAACTTTAAACAAATTGAATGTTTTTACCTTACTGTACAAACCCAACCCAACCCCCCCCTCTCAATCTTCAACATTTCTTGCTTTTAGGTGACTCTTTCATGCTGGATGTTGATGGACTATGCTCTGAAACTTCAGCCAAGCCGGTATGCTCAACAAAACTCTTAACATCAGAATTCGTGGACTCCCTGTCATCCGAAGCAACTTCCTGGACGATGCTGCATGAAAAGTTATCATCAGCTTCTAAAGGCTCCTTTGGTGTGGAAGATGATGTTTCTTCACTAGTAGGGTCATTGCTCGAATTGCTACATGTTAGCCATGAAAACTGCAGAATGTTGCCTTGCCAGCATTTGCCATTTACAAATGCCCTTTCTGCTGAGAGGTGTGTGCTGTAAGTTATACGAACTGAGCAATTTATTGTCTCGGATACCATACCATCATCATCATTTTCCACATCCTCCAGCTCCACAGAGAAAAGGTCACCATATTGTGAGAAGTGCTCCTTCAAAACATCAACCTAATAATTGACAAAACAGATTTCAGCTGCCTTTCATTGACAACAAAGGGCATACAAGCCTATCCAGTTTTATGTCATTAAGTGAAGATCTCATCATTATAAATAACTATACATCTAAGAAATTATGTTGTTACAACTCTTCATTTTTCCTGAAGCATTCATGCCAAACATCTAAACCCAACACACATCCAAATATGGTATAGGAACATGATCCACCTAGGATTCTCCAAACAATGAAAATCTTGGGAAAATTGAATGGCACATACTCGTGTGCGTATATTTGAGCCCAAGCAACATAGGTAAGGCCTGTTGTTTGGGCAATGTACTTATTTCATTTTTCATTTCAAGATGTAATAGAAGATGAATCAAGGGAAAATCCAACATCGCAAAAGATGGAGCCAAAACAATTTCTCAAACAAGGAAAAGGAGAGAGCAACTCACATGCGCAAGATCGGATGGCAATGGTGAAATAACTCTAAAAGCAGTAGGCCTGTTATCCAATTTGTATTTGTTCACCGAGAATGGATGTGCCACTGATGCTGACTGAGACCACTGATTTGATTTAGGACTGTGGGACAGAGCATTCTCCGTTGACATATCCTTATCTGCCATGTCCATAGTGCATGGTGTTGCAGCAGAAGTGCCAGCTCCAAAGGATCTTGGAGTTGAAGCTTTAGCAGGATCAGCCACAATGCCCACCTTTTGCCTCTTGGCTGCTTGTTCAGTATTGCCTTCGACCCCACTAGACTGCAAAATGGTTGAAATAGACAAACGTTAAACCTAACTTAACATGGGACAGCAAAAAGGTTGAAATAGACAAACGTTAAACCTAACTTACATGGGATACTATCACGCATTTATTACTTTTAAAAACCTGGTGTTCTGGTTCATTATTCTTTCTCAACTTGTGTCAGCATGTATATGCAGTCAAACTATTGGAAAATAAAAGGCATGCATGTTTGACAACGCACGGTAGTGAAGTTTTTCCCATCACTTAGCTACAGCATTCTAATCAGTTTCAAAACTACTATGAGAGCATGCAACTTCTGAACCTGATTTATATAAGTAACGGTTCTTAGAGGCATAAAATTACTCAAAGACTGGATATTTAGGAATATAGTACATAAAAGTAAACCAAGTTCCCAGTACTTGTTTCTCAAGTTTGTCCAACTGGCGCCGAAAGTCATTCCGCTTCTGTTCCAGCATTTCATGCTTCTTGCGTAGTTCCTCTTTCATCTGCTCCAAAGTCTCTAACTTTTTCTGCAGTGGGGGAAGCATGGGACCATTCATACTAAGAGGCTTGGAGGAATTCAGAGAAGGCACATCAACACCATGGCTAATGTTGCTCTTCTGAGTAACATGTTGAAGATTATCTTTTCCTCTATTGGCAGTAGGCTGACCATGAGAAGTTACTGATGTACCACTGCCACTGTTTATGCCACCTTCAGGAATGTTATCTCGATTGGCCCACCACAGCTTAATAAATCGGTTACCCATTACAGCATCAGGTGCCTTCAGAGCAGCTTCCGCCTCCTCCCTCCTTGAAAATTGTACAAAGGCCCGTTGACTATTTAATGGAATATAAATGTCAATAACCTCTCCAAACTTACAAAAATGAGAAAGAAGAGCCCCTCTTTTGTTGCTTTTCTGGGGAATCCCATTGACAAACAGTGTACATTGTGCCTTTTGAGTTGGTTTTCTGCTATTACGCAAGCTATCAGTCTGTGACTTCAATGATGAATCCATAATTTTGGAGCCATCATTCTCACTAATGTTCCGCTTCACCTGACTAGAAGTACCTTGAAAGCTAGGATATGCTTGTTGTTCTTCCTTGATTTCATTCTCAAGACAGTCCAAGGATGAGAGGTCAATTTTATGTTTGGTATCTAATCTAGTTCTTGAGATACCAGTTCTACCCATTACTGCATCGCGTAACCTTCCATGATGACAACCAGAGATATCATCATTTTGCAAGGATTCTGTTTCATCAGTCTTGGGTGAACGCAGTCCTGAGAGTGCACCCGATGGTTCCAGACCATTGCTATTCCACAAGGGTTGATCAGGATCATACAAATCAGCACCACTTACACTGGTAGAACCAGCACCATTCGTACCTAAGGCATCCTCAGTCATTCCAGGTATGCAGTTTTTGCTATGTAGATCCTTGCTGTTCATCGAAGTTGTTGGAGGAATACCTGAAAGTATTGTTCCAAGTCCAGAAGGTGTTGGCAACAATTTTGCTGTTGGAACTGCAACAGGAAGGCTGAACTGTGACAGACTCTGCAAACCAGAAAAGAAACCACTGTTAACTAGAATACATGGCTACGGTATCTGTTTCAATGTGATGAAAATGATTCAAAGCCAGTGATGGACTTCCCTACCAATGAAATTCGGATTTCAGACTAGTGCATACATTATGTATGAGATTATAAGTTAGATGAGACTACAAATTGGAAAAAAAAACCACTTCACCAGTCAATATAGAATGTTGAGCAAATATCACTGATGTAAGAAAAAGTATAATTGCAGAGATCTCTACAATTGTGGTACGTTTAGACAATGCTTAAAGCAGAGAATTGATCTATAAGCATGAAGTTTCTTGATTTGTGTTAACTAATCCCACCTTACTATTCTGGAGGCTTCCCTTCAATAAGATACTTTAGGACCAACAGCATGGAGGCTAACTTAGCAGAAAGGGTAGAAGAAGTTAAATCTATGTGGTATGCATGTTATTTTTGTTGGTTAAGAAATGGTTGACACTTGACAAGTAAAAAGAAGATCGGGAAAAATATAAGGAAAGCATAGGATGATAGCAATTACAGTTGCTAGGTGTTGTGCAAAAATATTAGAAAGTAACATGACAATCATTTGCAGAATTAGAATACTTAGACTAAAGCATAACGACAGAGCATAAGGTTAAAGTCCTGCCTCTGCTGGTATTGCAGCATTTGGCGAATGATATTGGTTGCTCAGTGGGCTGTTTTCCCATGGAATATCTTGGCTTACCTATAGGTGCAAAGAGAAATTCTGATGTACTTTGGGAGCCGGTTATACAGAATTTCAACAGTAAGTTAGCTGGTTGGAAGGCTAATTCACTGTCAATGGCGTGCAGATTGGTGCTTATAAAATCGGTATTAACTTCTAAAGAAAAACAAAACTTGTTCAGAATAAATCGTGTTTATTTCTGCTGAATATGGCTGACTTAAATAGAGTTTACAATGTAACAACTTTACATAAAAAGATGCATAAAATTAGCAACATAATAAAAACTGATTCTATCTAATTAAAAATGATCCTATAGAATAAAAAACTGATTCTATCTAATTAAAAATGATCCTATCTAATAACTAATAGAATAAAAACTGATTCTATCTAATTAAAACTGATCCTATCTAATATTTAATTTAGATATTCTCGACACCCCCCCTCAAGCTGGAGAATAGATATCGATCATTCCCAGCTTGGACAGAAATCCTTCGAACATCGTAGTAAACAGTCCCTTGGTGAGAACATCGGCGAGCTGCACTGATGATGGAACAAACGGTATGCAGATATCGCCATTTTCCAGCCTCTCCTTGATGAAATGTCGATCTATTTCGACATGTTTGGTCCTGTCATGCTGTACAGGATTCTGAGCAATACTGATTGCCGATTTGTTGTCGCGATACAACTTCATCGGTTTATCTCTTTCAACCTTCAGCTCCTCTAAGATCCTCCTAAGCCATAACAACTCACATACTCCTTGCGCCATGGCTCTGAACTCGGCCTCCGCACTGCTTCTAGAGACAACTGGTTGCTTCTTGCTCCTCCAAGTAACTAAGTTGCCCCAGACAAAGGAGCAATAACCGGTAGTAGATCTTCTGTCTGTAGAACTTCCGCCCCAATCAGCATCAGTGAAGATCTCCACTCTTCGACTTCCATTCTTCGAAAACATGATTCCTTTACCAGGACTCCCTTTCAAGTAATGAAGAATCCGGTAAACAGCTTTGGAGTGTTTTTCTGAGGGACAATGCATAAACTGACTAACCAAGCTCACAGCAAATGCAATATCTGGTCTCGTATGAGCCAAATAAATCAGTTTCCCTACCAGTTTCTGATACCGATTCTTGTCCACAGGCTCAGCACCATCTTCTTTTTCGAGTTTTTGATTCGGATCAATAGGAGTCGCCACTGGTTTACATCCGAGTAATCCGGTCTCTTTCAAGATA